ATAGGCCGATTAACCAAGTTATTATCCTTATTAAGCTCCCTCTTGTCACCCATCTCTTGTACGGCCATGAGGCCTAGGTCTTGAGAAGTCGTGATTTTTTCATCTTTCTCGGATTCACCAATTCTGCTAGGCGGCTCAGGGAGCGGAGCAAGAGGCAAGGCTGATAATTGCCCGGGAAGATGAGATTGCACTGGAATTGCTTGTTCGGTGTCCGACTTGCGAGTGTGGAGTAGTAAGTGATGATGATGCACATGGTGATGGTGAAGATGATGCAGATGGTGTCCGTGTCTGTGATGCAACATTAGATGGTGATGCTGAAACTCATTCCCAGTTCCACCAGCAGTATGATTGGGCCTAGGTTGTTCCAAAGAAGGGCCGGATTTGCTGCCAATGTCAGTAAAAGTTGTTGTGGTGGTCGATGGTATTCCAGCGTGATTTTGATGCAAATGATCAATACCCTCTTCGATAGTACGACCGAAGCCCTTTTCAGCACGCAAAGAAGAGGTAGGGGAATGAGGATAAATCTGGGCAACCTAAGAGGTAGCAAAAAAACAGTATAATGATGAAAGTTGAAGGTTACGCACAGGTAACAATAGAAGAACTATGCATGCTCAGGGCAAAGGTAATAAGACAACTTCCTGCATGGTTGAGAAAAGTTTTACCTTAGTTACAGAAGAATGTCTTTTTTTGATTCGTTTTCGCGAGCGATAGTTTTGCAAAAGAATAGTCAGGCGTTCGGTAACGAAGAAAAGGTGTATGCCTAGCAGAGCAATCATTGCTTTAATCATCAAGGAGCTATGAGACAATTCATCAGTCGCTGTATCCTTCGAATAAACGTGTTGCTGGTACTGATGTTGCTCTTCGAGGAGGTGATTGAGATCGGATGAATGCTCGTGCTTAGAAAGCGACTCTAATGGCTGCCGTGGAATATGTGAATGGCTAACCAGAGCCTGAAAGTATATAAATACAGCAACAAAGATGTGAAAAAACTAAAGCAAAAGATATAATTACACAAATGACTAAATGTGATTAACTACAATGGTGAATGGATTTCATCATTTTTATTTAATCTTACAGAAATCTAAAAGCAGAGTTGTTTAGAAAATTTATTTTCCTAAATTAAAACTGCTATATTCATCTGTCTGTATTTAGAATACAGTTTGGAAACTTGAAAGAACGCTGGATAACCAACTTCGAAGCACGGGCCTGATTAATGTATATTAACCAAAAAAAATTAACTTGACAAGGAAAAAAATTGTCCCAATTAGTCAATAGATCAACTATGAAATAAAATACATTATTCAACCCAATATACATAGGAGTGGCGTTAGAGTACTTTTCGTTTCGCTTGAAGAGGCGAGTGGGAGGAATTTGTAAGTTGGCCTCATTGGAAGCTGAGGGAGATTGCCTAGGAGTCGTGACCGTAAATTTGTGCAAATAGGTCCTCGGCACACCGTACAGAGACCCCAATGAATCTTTGCTGAGCTCTCGTCCGTCATGCGACGGACACGATCAGAGCAGGGTACCACGCTTAACGATAATTCAACAAAACAATAAGACAAGAAAGACTCATAGTCCAATTTGGTCCATTTAATGAGGCATCTCATGATTTGGTTGGATATCATATGCTCGTCTAAGTGTTTGCTGAACAGTTAAGTGGCTGCAAATGAAGAATGAAGCGGATGCAATTGTGACAGAACAGCTGCATCCTGCCCTAGAACACATTTATGATTTCTAAATGTTATTGCATGTGATTGCGTTTAATTTCA